AGTAATTATCACTGACTGTTACATATTAATTCCTGGAAAAGGTGTACAAGAGTTATCATTGTAAAGGTAAGTTGGAGACAAATGATGACTAAGACAAGATCAGGAAGAAGACAAAACAAGCAAATCAGGGCATGGCTTCATGTTTGCAATTTACAGAAATCAACCTGCCATGGACGGATTATCAGTTTACAGGAAATCTTTCCAAAAGACTATGGCCTATAGTATAACTGTGAATGAGGTATTGATGACCTTAAAATACTCCCTAGAGGTCTCCAGGAAGTAGTCAACCTTAAACTTAACAGTTAATTTATAAACCTGGAAAATGCAAACATTAAAACAGGTTGTGTGAAACAAAGAGGGAGGGGAGGTATTATAATGTCTAGAGCAGTGGTTCTAAATGTGAGGCACACACCCTACAGAGGGGCAATTTGATTTTTAAGGGGGGGCAACTCGAGAATGAGTTATTAAGATAGAATTTTTGCACTTCTTATGGTTCTAGGAGCCTCATATATTATATGAGAGAGAGAGAGAGAGAGAGAGAGAGAGAGAGAGAGAGAGAGAGAGAGAGAGAGAAGCATTTATGCATTTCAGTTCTCTATTATATGTTTTGAAATTTATTTGCTATTTTTTCATATCACTTCATATTATTACTTTTTTAAAACAATTTCTTAGTGATTTCTTCCTCAGTACTTCAACTATCCTTTCATTCTGTCATTTTTCTCTTTCATGGATGCCATGTTCTTTGGAAGCCTGTTTAGACCACGTTAATGGCCTTTTAGGCTTCCTCCATGTGAATAGGAGTTCACTTTTTGAATAATAAGAATTATATGTTGCTGAAACCGGTTTGGCTCAGTGGATAGAGCGTCAGCCTGCGGACTGAAAGATCCTGGGTTCGATTCAATCAAGGGCATGTACCTTGGTTGCGGGCACATCCCCAGTAGGGGGTGTGCAAGAGGCAGCTGATCGATGATTCTCTCTCATTGATGTTTCTAACTCTCTATCCCTCTCTCTTCCTCTCTGTAAAAAATCAATAATCTATCTATCTATCTATCTATCTATCTATCTATACCGGTATATATGTATATATATGTATGTATGTATATGTATATATATATGTGTGTGTGTGTACATGTGTGTGTGTGTGTGTGTGTGTATATATATATATATATATATATATATATATATATATATGAATTATATGTTGCTGAAACTGTTTTGGCTCAGTGGATAAGCGCGTCAGTCTGTGGATAGAGCGTCGGCCTGCGGACTGGAAGGTCCCGGGTTCAATTCTGGTCAAGGGCATGTACATTGGTTGCGGGCACATCCCCAGTAGGGGGTGTACAGGAGGCAGCTGGTTGATGTTCCTCTCTCATCGATGTTTCTAGCTCTCTATCTCTCTCCCTTCCTCTCTGTAAAAAATCAATAAAATATATATATATATTAAAATAAAATAAAATAAAATAAAATAAAATAAAATAAAAGGTACCAGGTTTGATTCCGGTCAAGGGCATATATATTGGCTGTGGGCACATCCCCAGTATGGGGTGTGCAGGAGGCAGCTGGTCGATGCTTCTAGCTCTCTATCCCTCTCCCTTCCTCTCTGTAAAAAAATCAATAGAAAATATTAAAAAAAGAATTATCTGTCATTGGGGGTGGGGGATCAGGATTTTAAATATGCTTAGGTGGGGCATGGCCAAAAAGAAGGTTGGGAACCACTGGTCTAGAGCCAAAAGAAGGAAAAACAATTCTTAGAGAATTTACAAAAAAAAAAAAGGGTGTGTGTGGGGGGGGGGTTGGGGGGATGGATGGTAAAAATTTAGTGTGTCTAGCATTGCCCAAGGAACAAGGGCCTCAGGTTTGGGCCAGAAATATTTTAGTTGGATTAGCTGGTATAATCTTATTTTGAAAGGACCCAACCTATTCTGGTGCTGCAGCTTAATAATATTTCATTTAGATCATCCAACTATCTTTCTCAGGTTTTATGATAATCAACTTATCAATTGATTTCTTACTACTCTGGTGTTGGGGATAGGACCCCTAACTGCTGGCTCCATTCAGTATGGCATATATAATCCTTTAGGTAATACACAAATTATCATCTAGGTTATAAATCATTCTCATGAATCTGGATCTCATGGTTGGAGGACACTTAAAAAACATTTCATTAACTGTCCATCTGGTGCTGAAATTCCTCCTATAAAATAACTAGCAAGTGCTTGTTTATTTTTCCTTGACATGTCAGGTAACAGAAAATGCATTACTTCTTTGAACTCTTCACCTTTTTGAATAATATGTTAAAAATTTTATTTATAAGAACAAAAATGGGTTACAGTATCTCCAGTCCTAAGTTGTCTCCTTGAGTCCACATAAAAAACAAAACAAAACAAAAAAACAACAACAAACAAATTAAACCTTCTACTCCCTACTCACTCCCCCCCAAAAAAACATAGGTAAGCTCATGTCCCTGAAAAACCTTTTTTTCTAAGCCAAATTTAACACTTCCTAATATGGGATGGTTTCAAATAATCCTGATTACCCTAATGGACAGGATTTAGTTTCTTTTTTTTTTTTTTAATATATTTTATTGATTTTGTACAGAGAGGAAGGGAGAGAGATAGAGAGTTAGAAACATCAATGAGAGAGAGTCATCGATCAGCTGCCTCTTGCACACCCCCTACTGGGGATATGCCCGCAACCAAGGTACATGCCCTTGACCGGAATCGAACCCAGGACCTTTCAGTCCCCAAGCCGACGCCCCATCCATTGAGCTAAACCGGTTTTGGCGATTTAGTTTCTTTTTTAAGGTATAGTCTCAGGCATGGTGAAGTATTTTTGTAAAAGTTGTAAAAGTAAGATATTTTCATTGCAAATGGTTAAGATAACTTTTTCCACTTCTCATTCCCCTCTCATATTTCTCCTCATGTAAAGTGATGCTGAAATGGCCATCAGCATTTCTAAATTAAAGTTAAAGGGAAGTTGTGTTAGAGGTGTATTTAGTTTGGGTGTAGGAGAATAGGCATTATGTGGTTTACTGAAACTTCCATATACAGTTAACTGACTATTAGCTGTCTTAGTGTAAGAATGGCTTCCAGGAAGATTCCAACCACTCACCCACTGTGCTAATTTCACTCAGAATTGTGACACTAAGTTGCAGGTGTATTAGGAAGCTAATGAAAATGCTATGTCATTTTTATGAGTTTTGTGATACCAAATAGATTTTTCAGCTTTTTAAAATATAAAATGTGATATGCAGTGAGCTTTACCCTTACAATGGGTAAATTTTATGGCATGTAAATTATACCTCAATAAAGCTATTAAGATGTTACATGATTTCTTTTCTTACTTTAACTATATATTTATTATTATGCCCAAAGTAAAGTAAGAGTATATAGCCAGGTTTGTATAAAAAGCTATACCAAGCATCATACTTAAGGGTAAAATGTTGAAAGAATCCCTTTGAGACTGAGAATTAGACAAGGGGATCACTATTATTACCTTTGTTCAACATTGTATTATTATAGAAGTTCTAGTGAGTACGGTAAGCCAATAAAAAGATATAAAAGGTATAAGAATCAGGAAAGAAGAAATAAAGTTATTCGTTATACAAAAACTATGACTATAGAAAATCTAAAAGACTAAATTCAGAAATATTATTAGAATTAATTACTGTGTTTAACAACAGTGCTGAATAAAAAAATTGGTATGTATTATAAAAACCAGTTGCACTTTTATTAGTTTTTTTGCACTTTTAAAGAATAGCCACAATTAAAATAAAAAGATATAATTTATAATCATATAAAACTATAAAACATTAGCAGTAAATATAACAAAGAAGGTGCAAGAGGAAGTTGAATCTAAAATTTTCATCAAAGTGCAAAAGTCAAGAATAGCCAAAGTACTTTTGAACAAAGTGGGGCAACTTTCCTTATCAGATGTCAAGACTTATAAAAGCCATAGGAATTAAGGCTGTGGCATGGAGAGAACTAAATAGAGAGTTCCAGAACAGACCCACATATATAGAGAGATTTGTTGTATAATAAAACTGACATGTTAGATCAGTGAAAGAATGTATACTTTAAAAAAAATATTTTTTTTATTTCAGAGAGGAAGGGAGAGGGAGAGAGATAGAAACATCAATGATTAGCAAGGATCATTGATCGACTGACACCTGCACATCCCCTACTGGGGATCTAGCCTACCACCTGGGCATGTGCCCTTGACTGTAATTGAACCCAGGACCATTTAGTCCACAGGCCAATGCTCTAACCATTGAGCAAAACCAGTTAGGACAAGAAAGTATACTTTTCAAAATTGGTGCTCAAACAATTCGTTTTCCATATGGAAAAATAATAAATTGGACTCCACCTCACAACATGCATGTAAAAAAAAAAAAAAAAAAAAAAAAAACACCAGGTGGATTAGAAACATAAATGTGAAAGGCAAAAATATAAAACTTTTAGAAGAAAATATTAGAGAATATCTTAGTGATCTCTATCCAGTGAAGGATTTCTAAAAGAAGGCAGAAAATGTATGACATAAAGGAAAAGACTGGTAAATCAGAGTACATTAAAATTGAGAACTTCTATTTATCAGGAAACACTACAAGAGAATGAAAAAACAAGCCATAAATGTAACTACAACCAAAGATTAATATCAGATTATAAAGAGATGTCTAAGAATCTATAAGCCATAAAAAAATAAATAAATAGAAATGTAGGCCAGAAACCAGAATAGGTTCTTCTCAAAAGAGAAACCTCAAATGGCCAACAGCTGAATTACAAGATGCTCAACATTAGCAACCAGGGAAATGAAAATAAAAATAAAAATAAAATAGTGTTTTACACTCACTAGAATCCTAAAACCAAAAAACTATGGAAAGTACCAAGTGTTGGCAAGCATGTGGAGGAAGTAGAATGTTCATCCATGGCTCATTGGAGTATACATTTATGTGAGCACTTTGGGAAAGGGTTTGGCATTACACAGCAGAATTGAACATAAGCAAATCCCAGGACCCAGAAATTCCACTCTGGGGTATATAACTTAGAGAAACTGTAGCACATGTACATCATTCCATCATCATATAAAATAGTAGAATAAATAAATAATGGAATATTATATAGCAGTGCAAATGAACTAAAACTAGATGCATCAATGTGTTAATCTCAAAACACACAATGTTGAGTAAAAAAGCAAACCACTGGAGCATATATACATACAAAAGGCTAAGTTCTATTTATGAAAAAATTCCAAAACAGGAAAAGTTAAATAATATATTGGTTAATGATGCATTTAGTTAGTAAAACTATAAAAAAACACACAAATCAATGATTATCACTAATTTGAGGGTAGTGGTTACATCTGCTGAGGGAGGGGAGATGCTAGCAGGGAGATGTCATCAAGGAGGGTCCCTCAGAGGGTTTTAAGATACTGAAATTAATGTTCTATTTTTTAACTTAGGTGATGAGTACACAGATATTCAATCCTTAAAATTATTCTTGATATTACATTAATATTTTATATATCCCTTTGTGTATATTTTATAGTAGAAACAAATCAGTGCCTAGAACTGAACACACAACTCTAGCTAATTGATCATACTAGGAGACAATCACCTCCTTCATTTTGAGTACTTTGACTTTGTTTTGTGAACCCAGGTTAACATTTATACTGCTAAACTTTCTATTATTTGATTTGGCCATTTTTTTCACTTGTCCTCCCAGCCATCCAAGCTCTCACCAGACCAGATCATCTTCTTCGATAATGATCATCTTTCAGATACTGACATTTCTGAGCCAGCCAGGCTTGAGGTCCAAATCACAGCTGGCAGATGTGTCAACTTTTCTGAAAGCCCATCTTAAAGCAGATTCCTTAACAAGCTCACAACCTGTTTATCCTGAGGTTATCTGTTTATAGTTTAGCCAAAGAAGGCAATGCCTCACATGAGGTTATGTTGATAAGATGATGATAGCATATTCTCACTCAAGAAGAATACTATTTCCTGAAAGGATAAAACCCCAACAGGGAAAACCCCTGGTGTTCTCATAGGTAGGGCTGGACTGCCACCCAAGCTGATAACATAGTTCCGTCCAGAGAAGGAAGGCCGAATGCACTTATTTATTCCTGGAAGCTCTGTGGGTAGGTGTGCATCTTTCATATCTTAAAGACTCACAGAACTTGAGCTGGAAAGAGGTCCCAATCCTGAAGAACCTTTTCAAAATCCAGGGTGCTGAATTTTTCCTGCTGCCTAGAGGTTCCAAACCACCTCTTGAGAATGGCAAACTGTTTGCTTAACCATTGGCTCTCAGTTTTGGTTCTGGTAAGTGATGTTTAACTACCTATTAATTAATCTTAACAGAGTAAGGAGACATTCTGTTTGCTCATATTTGGGGCTGAAAGGGAAAGATTACATGCCAATATTGGGCTCATTGAGACCAATTATCAGTTAGAATTCCAACTCTATGCTTTATATACTCTTCTGTGTACAATATATTCACCACTTTAGAGAAGGGGGAAAAATCCAACTCTAGAAATTGATTGGTAAAGAGTCAATAATATGTTCTTAAGCCACAAGTATTTGAAATTTCAGTCTGTTTTCATTTCCTATCTTCTCTTTTTCTCTTTCATCTCACTTCTAATTAGAATGCCATGGAGCATTCTATTCTCTCCATCCTTCCTATAGTGCTTACATCAAAATTTCATAAGGCTCTGGCTGGGTAGCTCAATTGTTTAGAGTGCCGTCCCAATACACCAAGATTGTGGGTTCAGTCTCTGGTCAGACACATATAAGAAGCAACCACTACCTGAATTCTCTCTCTCTCTCTCTCTCTCTCTCTCTCTCTCTCTCTCTCAAAGCAATAAAAAAGATTTAATAAAATTATTGAACATTTGAGTTAGAGCTGATCTTAGAGCCTTATAGATAATCAGCATAGCACTGTATATTAGGAATATAATATGGGTCACATATGTGATTTTTTAATTTTTCTAATACATTGAAAAAGGTAAAAAGAAAAAGATGAATTTAATTTAATTTCTAGCAATATATTTGTTAAATCCAATATATAAAAAAGATTATCCTTTCAACATGTAACCAATATTGAAAATATTAATACAATAATTTATATTCCTGTATTTTTACTGTTTGAAATATGTTGTGTATTTTACTCTTACAACACATCTCAAACAGGACAGGTTGTATTTCAAGTGATTAGTAGCCTCATGTGGGGGTAGAGACTATGGTTTTGCATAGTGCATATGTATTATATAAACTCCTTAATTTTACAAGGGAAAATGAGACCCAGAATTGACTGCAGAATCATTATGCAGCCCCATTCCCCAGTGTTCAGGTCAGAACCTTTACACACACACAAACACACACACACACACACACACACACACACACACCTTTCCTGACTCATTCTTTCATTTCGGAGTCACCTCTGAGCCTGGGATTCCCTGTGTCCTTTCTCACATACCTGGAACTTCATGTCATTGCTCCTTCTAAGGTTCTCTCTTTTCTCTTGTTTTTTACTTTGGGTCTCTCAGGACTGCCAGATGCTCTAGGTAGGGGAAAAGGTGTGGAGAGCAATCATGTTCCCCTGGAGAGTTGTTTCTTTTTCATTCATATCAGAGGAAATGATAGTTACCATGGGAAATGGAATTCTTTACTCTCAGATGTCACTGTATTTCATCATCCACCTTACCTACAATTTTAAAAAATATATATTTTATTGATTTTTTACAGAGAGGAAGAGAGAGGGATAGAGAGTTAGAAACATCAATGAGAGAGACAAACATCAATCAGCTGCCTCCTGCACATCCCCATTGGGGATGTACCGAAACTAAGGTACATGCCCTTGACCGGAATCGAACCCGGGAACCTTGAGTCCACAGGCTGACGCTCTATCCACTGAGCCAAACTGGTTAGAGCTTACCTACAATTTTTTTTGTTGGGCCTCTCTGTCCCCCTCAGATCCTTAAATATTTCTGCTCCCTTTAAATTAGTTTCTCTCCTCTATCTTCTGAATCTTAGCACCTTTTTCGTTAGGATCAAAGAGTCTCTGGAAGACACTTATCTCTGGAAAGGATGCAGGAAGAAATTAATGGGTAAAGACAGTCTGATAACCATGTAACTCTGAAGCCAACATTTATTGAGCTCTTACTCTGCACCCATCATTGCATTGATTACTTCACATGAATTATTTCATGAAAGACTCACAGCAATGCTGTGAGGTAAATATTGTTATTATCCTCATTTTACAGGTGAAGAAATGGAGGTTCAGAGAAGTTAATCACAGTTTTGTCCAAGATTACAGAGATAAAAAAGTAGTGGAGCTAGAATTTGAGCCTAAGGAGTTTGATTCCAGTATCACCCATTAAATCACTATTCTGCTAGAGGTGTGTGAGCGGTCCAGATCTAGTGAATCTGAATGGGCGATGTCTGAGACTAAAGGCCCTTTATTCCGGGCTGAGAAGGTTCTGATTCATCCTGGGGCCAGTGATATATATTAGTATTGTAGGCATTCTTGTGCCAGGAGTCCTGATCAATTACAAATTAGCACCTCCAAGTTTTGACTAGAGTCCAATTGATAGGTCTCTAAGGCACTGGGCAGTGGGTTCCAAATTTCTCCCTTTGCCAATGCAGAGACAGATCTTGGGATAGACAAAAGCAGTCTCAAGAGCTCAAATGAGTCCAAAGCAATGATATGTTAATTTAAAAAGAGACACAATCTAAAAAGAGGAAAATGTGTGTTAGGGTGTAATTAAAGAGGCCAGCCCATCTGGAATGGTTTAGTCCTTTGCAGATGAGTATTGTTACAGCTGTTAAATTTATTCTTTGTTTCTTTAGAAATTCACTAGTCACTGATTGCACTCTTTTAGGTAATATTTTAAACGCTCTAGTTCAGGAGTTGGCAAATGTTTTCTGTAAAGATCTGGGTAGCACACATTTTAGATTTTGCAGGTCTCTGTCACAACTATTCAACTTGTTTGCTGTTATCATGAAAGCAGCCATAAACAATATAGAGATAAGTAGGCATGACTAAATTCTAATACCACTTTATTTATAGACACCGAAATTTGAATTTCATATAATTTCCATGCAATAAAATATCATTCTTCTTTTGATGTTTTTCCAACTACTGGTATTTAAAAATGTGAAAACAAAAAATGTAAAAACCTTTCTTAGCTTGTAGACTATACAAAACAGATGGTGAGCCAGATGGACCTTGGTTTGCTGAGCCTGCTCATTAGTGTTTAATGCACATTTCAAAGTTCTAACTCACTCTGAAAGTAAGTTAGATACTAGCAAGACTGTATTCATTTAAAATGTAAACAGACTCTCTTGGCTGATGTGGCTCAGTTGGTTGAGTGTCCTCCCATGCACCAAGAGGTCACTGTTTTGATTCCAGGTCTCGGTTCCAGGCTCCATCCCCAGTAGGGGGCATGCAGGAGGCAGCTGGATGATGTTTATCTTTCATCTGTTTTTCTCTCTCTTTAAAATCAGTAAAAATGTATTTTAAAATGAAATTAAAATATTTAAACACAAAACAGCCAAAGGATGACACTATTTCCTACCCCTTATCTCCTGCTGTCCATACCCAAATTTCACTTTATTCTTTGCTTTTTTTCTTCCTCCAGGTTATGTGGTTGGGGCTGAATGTTTTCTTGTTTGTGAATGCCTTCCTGTCATATGAGAAGGGGGACAAGTACTACTACACAAGAGAAATCCTGGGGGTGAGTATCATAGATGTAATGAGGAATCTAGGCATTTTTCTTATCTCTGACCCTGGCTCCTTTGAGAACCAATTTCCTGATTTCCTCTGGGGCTAGGGTTGCCAGAAAAATTACAGGATGCCCAGTTAAATTGGAATTCCAGAAAAATAACAAATATTTTTTTGGTATAAGTATTCAAAATATTTCATAAGTATACAGTAAGTCCTCACTTAATATCATCATCAATTAGTTCTATAACTTCAAGCAAAACAATGTATAACAAAACCAATTTTACCATAGGCTAATTGGTATAAACAAGAGTTAAGTTTCTATGGCAGCTCATCAATATTATAACTAAACTAGAGGCCCGGTGCACCAAATTCCTGCATGAGTAGGCTCCCTAGGCTTGGCCAATCAGGTTTCCCCACCTCCCTGTCTCCTCCTTCCCTCGCTCCCTCGGTGCCCTGTGTCACCACCATGTTCCGCACCACCCTCTGGTGGTCAGTGCACATCATAGCGAGCTATTGAACATATGGTTGAACTCCAGAAGGGACACTTCGCATATTAGTCATATATATATATATATATATATATATATATATATATATATATATATATATGTATTAGAGGCCCAGTGTGTGATTAAATCGTGCACATTAGGGCCATGTCTACTGCCTTGCAACACCTCACAGCCTTACAAGCTCCATGGACACTGCCAGCACCCTACAATGCTCTCAGCTCACACCCTTCTCTCACCCACTGCCTCCTCCCGCTGCCACATGCACCCCTGCTTCTCCCCTTGCTGTGGGAGCACCTCAGATTGCCACCTGGGGACCTGTGCCATACTCACCGCCCCCTCCTGCCCACCGCCTGCCTTGCTGGCCCTCTTCACTGTGCAGCCCCCCTCCAGCCTGGCCTGAGCCCTGCCCTGCAAGAGGTGCTCCATGAACCTCCTGGTGATCAGTTGTTTTGTTGTGATGCCATTATGGTATGACCACAGCCCTTTTAAGATATAGATAGATGGATGACTTAAAATAAAACGACTTTATTTTAGGATCTGCTGTACTAAAAAAATATATATATATATAGGTTTCTCCTACAATTTTAAAGTAGAGCATTCCTATGAAATCTTTTACAAGCCAAAATGGCGTAAATCAAAGAAGCAATTACCATTAATTTATAGGGAAAACTTTTTGAGCATTTCTAGACCCCCAAAATAACCTACCAAATCATACCAAATATGCTTAATTACATCTGGTTTTATGCTAAGTATAATACTCTTATGAACTCTGATATTTTAGGACACACCTTGCTAACAGGTGCACCTAATGAATCAGGATCAAGCATAGGTGCTCACAGGCGCGATTTAAAGCTATGGGGGCTTGGTGCTGAGGTAGCTCCTGCTCAGGGTGCACACTTGCTCTGTAAGAGCTGACTGCAAAACAAATGCTGAACACTATTTTCTCTTTTAACCTTAAAATAATTCAAAACAGAACCATCTTTGGGTTTTGTTTGTTTGTTGTTTCTCGGTTAGCAGAAAAGGTATTAATGTAGATCTTTTGCAAAAACTAAGTGGCAAAACGTGAACTTTCGAAAACTAGGGTGATGCCTTGTTCCTTTTTTAAATCCGATGTTCAATTTTATCTTGGTGTTCTGTATTTTTGTTCACTAAATCTAACAGCCCCATCTGGGGCACATTCCCCAGACCCATTAATGAAAACAAACAATAAACTAGTAGGCAGTGGTTTTCAAACTGGTTTCCACAGAAACAGATGCTCCTACAGGGTGTGAGGGGAAGGCTCCTGCCTCTGCCCCTACTTCAACCAAAGCAGCTTTATCTGTTTTATGGACTCCTATTTATGATTTTTTAAGAGACTGGTTAAAAACAAACAACTTAAAACTACTACTGTAGAAGATCAGACAGAAAAATAACTTCCATCAAACAGGGATACTAAGAGAGGTGTGTAGGGTTGAGTGGAGCTGCAGAACTCAAGGCCTTCATAAAGGCAGGGTCAGGTCAGAGTAACAGGATGGAGGAGGCTGGGGAAGTGGCAGATTAAGAATAGAAGCTGTAGTACGTCTGTACAAGAGAATACTACTCAGCCATAAGATGAAGTATTGCCATTTGTAACAACATGTATACATCTTGACAGTGTTATGGTAAGTGAAATAAATCAGACAGAAAAGGACAAATGCTGTGTCGTTTCACTCATATGTGGTATATAAAACAACAAACAAAACAAAACAAAAGCCCTAGATAGTTTGGCTCAGTGGATAGAGCGTTGGCCTGTGGACTACTGAAGGGTCCTGGGATCGATTCTGTTCAAGGGCCCCTGTCTGGGTTGCAGGTGTAATCCCCAGTAGAGGGCATGCAGGAAAAAGCCGATCAATGATTCTCTTTCATCATTGATGTTTCTATCTCTCTCTCCCTCTCTGAAATCAATAAAAATGTACATTTTAAAAATCCCACAAAGAAACAAAGAAATAACCCCACAAATCCATAGATACAGAAAACAGAATGGTGGTTACCAGTGGGAAATGGGAGTGGAGGAGGATGGAAGATGAAGTGGGTAAAGGGGGTCAAATACATGATGACAGAAGGAGACTGACTTCGGGTGGTAAGCACACAAAAGAGTACCCAGTTGTCATATTATAAAGTTGTACACTTGAAATTTATGTTATGTCATCCCAATTTTAATATAAAAAATAATAGAAGAGGAAGGGGTGGGTAGTGCACATTGGTGTAGAAGTTTTCATGGGAAAACATGAAGGTGAGAATGGCTCTTTCACAGGCTCATCAATCTGAACACTACCTGATTAGAGAAGGGAATGTGACTGCTACTTATGGTCTGTTATTCAGTAACTAGAGGCCCTATTTGTGCACTGGGCAGGCAGTGGGAGGGGAAGAAGGGAAGGAGTCTTTCAGCTCAGCCTGCACCCTCTTGCAGTCTGGGAGCCCTCTCGGGATGTCTGACTGATGGCTTAGGGGGGAGCAGGCCAAGGCCTCAGTCGGATATCCGATATCCTTAGCCTTGCCACTGTTACTGCATGTGGCTGAGAAATGCTCCTTCTGTGGGAGCTCTTGTGTTGAGCATTCGCCCCCTGGTGGTCAGTGCCTGTCATAGCAACCATTCATCCTTCCGTTCAATTTGCATATTACCCTATTATTATATAGGATAACAGGTGAGGGGGTTGGTTAAATCACTTTCATCTTAACAGTGCCCTTTTCTTTGTTTTTAATCCTCATCTGAGGATATGTTTTTAATTGATTTGAGAGAGAGAGGAAAGCAGAAAGAGAAAGAGAGGGAGAGAGGGAGAGAGGGAGAGAGGGAGAGAGGGAGAGAGGGAGAGAGAGAGAGAGAGAGAGAGAGAGAGAGAGAGAGAGAGAGAGAGAGAGAGAGAGAGAGAGAGAGAGAGAGAGAGAGATGGATTTGATAGAGAAACATCAATTGGTTGCCTCTGGTATGCACCCTGACTGGGTGGGGATCAAACCCACAATCTGTGCCCTGACTGGGAATCGAACTGGAGACCCTTCAGTGCAAGAGAAAATGCTCCAATCACTGGAGCCACACTCGCCAGGGCTTGACATTGCCCTTTCCACTAGCTTTTCACAAAGACCCACCCAATGTACATGTTTAAAGATAGTTTATCCTTAAAAAAAAAACACCTTCTTTTCTCTCTGTAATCAAAGGATCCATGTTGTAATCACAATTAATTTGAATGTTCTGTTCAGTTTCTTTTACCCTGCTGTTTTCCACTTTAAATGTTGGCTCTTGATCCTTCTTTGGAAACTATAACTCCAAAGGAAGTGTTAATTTGTTTTAAAAATAGCTTTTTATTAAGAGAATGATGCAATAAACGTGACTATTATAGTTATTAAGAATTGAATTGCTTTATGTTCAAAAAGTCAGCAGCAGAAAAATGAATCATGATGATTTCCTGTGGTTATTTCATTTTTAAAGGTCCTCACTATTAAAAAATCAATTATAAATAATGCTTCATGAGATCAAATGACAGAAAAGTGTATAAATGTGAAAATTACTCTCCTATCACACTCCCAAAATATAACTATTTATTAATAATTTTGTGTGTGTGTGTGTGTGTGTAGTGTTCATAAATACACTGAGACATTCACAAATGCATCAGACATATGGGTTTTGTTTTGTTTTTGAGGTAGATTTCTCTTTTTGGTGTACCATTCTATGAGTTTTGATAAACACAACAGTAGGACACATCAGTTAAAAATATTTTTAATCAAAAAAGGATCACATTGTAATTATTAGCTAGAAATTTCTTCCCACACTTAGGGTATCACAGATATCTTTCCATGCTGCTATATGACAGGTGAAATGCTTATACCAGCTTGCAGTAGCCAGATGTGTACATCTCTTACCCAGCTTTCAGTGGCGTTCAATGATATCAAGTTGGTATTTTGAAATCTGCCATAGTTGGAGTATTTACACCATGGCAAATGCTGGAAATAAAGACCCTTGCTCCTCCGAAGGCTGATTATTAAAAACATTTTCTATACCTATACCACTGCATATAGCTCTCATCCTTTTAAGAACCATAGCATTCCATGGCATTAATGTGCCATAATTTATTTAATCATTCCATAGGATATTTCTTAAACTTGTGCTCCCTCTAGGAAAATGCAGTTATTTGATTCAGTATGAAGTACAGCAAATACGTAGCAGAGGAAGAAATTTAAATCCATAGTCAATGAGGCATTAAAGGCAGCAGCAGTTTAATTAGAATATCAGTTAGTGTTGATGATGAAAACTGAACATAATTTGGGATATTTCAGTGTGCTGCAATGGGAAAAAAGATTTGTTCTAGCCCTGGCTTGTGTGGTTCAGTGGTTGGACTGTCAGCCCGCGCATCAAAAGGTCGTGGGTTCGATTCCCAGTCAAGGGCATGTACTTGGATCACAGGTTCAATCCTCAGCCCTGGGGGGTGGCGGGAGGCGGGGAGAGACACATTTGGGGAGCAACCAATGTTTCTCTCTCTCTCTCTCCCCTCCCTTCCACTCTCTCTAAAAAATCAATGGAAAAAATATCCTCAGGTGAGGATTAACAACAACATCAAAGCGATTTTTTCTAAAAAGGATTCATCCTATACGAACGGCCCTCACAAAATATGGAGCTTTGAAATTGAAGTCCTGTATTTTTAATTCACTTGTCAATTTTAGCCTTAAGAAACCTCTGAGACTTAAATAAGCAACATGTGGAGACCAATGTGGAAATGTAGGATCTTTGAGATGAGCAGAGAAAATTTACTTAGAAGTGGAACAAACTATTTCTATCAAAAACAGTCAGAGTATTGCCGAGACCGGTTTGGCTCAATGGATAGAGCGTCGGCTTGGGGACTGAAGGGTCCCGGGTTCGATTCCGGTCAGGGGCATGTACGTTGGTTGCGGGCACATCCCCAGTAGGGGGTGTGCAAGAGGCAGCTGATCGATGACTCTCTCTCATCGATGTTTCTGGCTTTCTATCTCTCTCCCTTCCTCTCTGTACAAAATCAATAAAATATATTTAAAAAAAAAAGTCAGAGTATGATTTAGCTGAGGGAGAAACACAGGTCATATGGAAGAGCCAGAAATGGAAAACAGTAGGGCAGCTCTTGTTCATTGCACTGTCTGACATTTTAAGCTATTATGAATGTAACTCTCTTTCTATTATGAATGTGAGGGAGATCTTATCCGGCTTATTAAACACATGTAGCATTTCTTGAGGTTTAGGTTTATGGAAAAATAGCTTTTGAGCCAAAAAGATTACTAAAAAAAAGGCTGAGAAATTGTTAACTCTAACCCATATTCTTCCTTTTAGTAAGTCATTGACAGGCACACATGTAAGGCCAGCCAGCCAGTCAGCTGAACTGCAACAGTAATTGCTTGGCTGCTCTGAGATGGTCATACTCCATAGCCTGCAGTTTCTAGTACATGGAACCAACTCAAAAACCACTTGTACAGAGTTGAGATAAATTGGATTTAGCTACCATGGAGTTGAGCATACTCTTTCCAGTATATACCTAATTAAACCTGTTTCTGGGCTAAATACTTCTTTGAAGAACTGATTCCTTGTCTCCTTTTCTAGCAGCTTCTACTGCTGGATCAGATTGATCTTGATGTCTGTTGCCTGGCCACTCAAGGAAATCAGTTTGAAATTCTATTCTAAGAAGTTGTCCCTTTTCAAATCTCTACCTAAGTTTAACATTTTTGCTTTAAGAGATTCACTAGTTTTGCCTAGGCTTTATTCAATTATTAAAGACATTTTAATATAAGAGGTTTTATTTTAATTGATTATATGAATACTAGGGGCCCAGTGCACAAATTCAAGCACTTTGAAAGGAACTGTGGGCTGCAAGGCTATAGTGGGCACAGAGGCGGGTCTTGGCCCATCCTCTGTGGCACCACCCAGCCCCTCTCGCAGCAATCCCTGGTCCCCTGTCTGCCAGCTACCCAGCTCCTACTGCCACCATTGTTCCCATGGGCTGATGGCACCAACCCTACTTGCACCCACTAACAACACAGAGCTGGCATTGGCACTGGGTGTGAGCAGCAGCTCTGGCACTGGAAGCTGGTGCAAGCGGGGCTATCACTGGCAGCTGGTAGAAGAGATGGCGCGCACCCTCCTGGTGGTCAGCACACGTCATAGTGGCTGGCTGTTTGGCTGTTCAGTTGTTCCACTATTTGGTCTATTTGCATATTAGGGTTTTATATATAAAGATTACATGATTATAATTGCTACAGTAGAAAATACAGAAAAGAGGAGAATCCAAGATGGCTGCACAGGTAAACACCTAGCCGCACACAATACTTTCAATAAAATACAACTAAAATATAAAATAGACATTACCCAGAACTACAGGAAAGTCGACTGACTGTAAATTTTACAATGAGAAGCAAGGAGAAAACCAGAAGGAAGAGCGGAGGAGCTGTAAAAGCCTAAGGTACGGAGACACGTGGTGCGCACGGAGAGGACGGAGCCGGAGAGAAGGGGCAGCTGAGTGCCTGGCTGGCGTTCCCTAGTGGGAAGGAGATAAAAGCTCCGACTGTGCTGGGCCCCAGTTTCGACTGCTCTGAACCCCAGTTCTAGGCCAGACCCCGGGGACCCAGGCTCATCCATAGGGAGCTGGGCTGTAAGGTGGAGCCCCAGGGGAGCAGGGAAAGGAGGTCCCGGAGGCTTGCACATTGCTCACAGAGAAGGGATGGTTGGCTGTGCCGCGAGATTGCCCTGGCGCGAAGGAGACAGGGGCTCCAGACTGCTATGAACACCACCTCCAATCCCACTCCCAACTGAACTGAACCCCAGTTCCGGGCTTATTGGGGGAGAGCCTAGACTGTTTGGTAGCAGGCGAAAATTGAGGGCACCTTTCTCTCAGAGGTGTTTGCAGCGAGTACTGAAGGACTCTGAGACTCAGGAGCCACATAGGGCGGGGCTGATGGAAGTCAAGGCTGTAGGCTCCACCCTGAAACCCCGCCCTATCAGGGAAGCTGCGAAAATGCCGAGACAAAGAAATAGATCATAAACGAAAGAAATGGAGGACAAAAAGCGACTGGATATAGAGTTCAAATCTACGCTTATAAGGTTTTTCAAGAATTTCCTAGAAAATGTCAATAAGACCTATGAGGATATGAAAAGGGATCAACTAGAATTAATAAGGAATCAACAAGAAATGATAAGGGATCAACAAGAAATAAAGAATACATTGTCTGAAATAAAAAATATCATACAGAGTCCTAAAAACAGAATGAAAGATCACAAGAATCAAGTCAAAGATATGGAACATAAAGAGCCAGAAAACACTCCTCCGCAGAAGCAAGAAGGCAAGAGAATCCAGAAAATTGAAGATAATGTAAGAAACCTCTGGGACAACTTCAAGCAAACCAACATCAGAATTATGGGGGTCCCAGATGAGAGACAGCAAGATATCGAAAACATACTGAAAGAAATAGTGACAGAAAACTTCCCCCACCTGGTGAAAGAATTAGACTTACAAGTCCAGGAAGCGCACAGAACTCCAAACAAAAGGAATCTAAAGAGGACGACACCAAGACACATCATAATTAAAATTCCAAGAGCAAAAGACAAAGAGAGAATATTAAAAGCAGCAAGAGCAAAGCAGGTAGTTACCTATAAAGGAGCACCTATACAATTGTCAGCTGATTTCTCAACAGAAACCATGCAGGCCAGATGGGAATGGCAAGAAATATTCAAGGTGATGAATAGTAAGAACCTACAGCCAAAGATAATCTACCCAGCAAAGCTATCACTCAGAATCGAAGGCCAGATAAAGAGCTTCACTAATAAAAAAAAGCTAAAGGAGTTCATCACCACCAAACCAGAATTATATGAATTGCTGAAGGGGGTTCTTTTGGAAGAGAAAGTAAATAAAGATAAAAATTATGAACAACAAATACGTAACTATCAACAAGTGAATCTAAAAACCAAGGAAATTTAAAAAAAATCTGATGAACAACATTAACTGTTGAATATAATAGAATCAGAGGTATGGAAGGGGAGTGAACTGACGATTCTTGGGGAAAAGGGGAGAGGGAGATGTGGGAAGAGACTGAACATAAACTGTGCACCTTTGGATGAGGACAATGGGGGGTGGGGAAAGGGTAGAGGGTGGGGTGGGAATCTGGTGGAGGAGAGCAATGGAGAGGGAGGGGGGAAGGAACATCTCTAATAATATGAACAATAAAAATTTATTTTAAAAAAAAGAGACACAGGAAAAAAAAGAAAATACAGAAAAGAGAAAAAACAGTCACCATCTTCAATTATATCTCTAAATCAGTGGTTCTCGACCTTTCTAATGCCGTGGCCCTTTAATACACTTCCTCATGTTGTGGTGACCCCCAACCATAAAATTATTTTCATTGTTACTTCATAACTAATTTTGCTACTGTTAATGAATCGTACTGTAAATACCTGTGTTTTCCGATGGTCTTAGGCTCTACAGCAGCGGTTTTCAACCTATGAGTCATGACCCACAGGTTGAGAACCGCTATCAGGGTCACCTAAGACCAGATAAGCTTTATTTAAAATGAAATAAGAGTGTATATGATCTTCAAGATTGTTTTACAAATGAAAACAACAAAATAATAACTGAGTGCATTAAGCAATATACTAGTTGCAAAGTATTACATGCATAGAATGTGTTTGTTAACATGGAATTATTAAATCCTGTTATCTTTCATATTGATAAATGTACAAACATTTCCAAATCATTGTCACAGGAATTTCTCAATTCAATATTAAGTTCAGCAAATTTTCAGTCATTTGCAAACAGAGAACCTGGCCTGGTTGTCCTAGCTACTGAGAAAGAGGGGAGGAAGCTGCAGCCTGCCCATTTCCAGGTCTCAGACAACTAGACTGGACTCATACTTCCCTGCTAAATGCTGACATGAAGCAGCTGATGGTGTCTTCTTTCTTCTGCTCTAGTCGGCATTGGCCTGGGCCAGAGCATCTGCTCGCTGCCTGAATTTTAACAGCATGCTGATCCTGTTTCCCATGTGTCGGAATCTGCTCTCCTTCCTGAGGGGCACCTGCTCAGTGAGTCCCAACCGCTCATAGGTCAATTTTTACATTAAAGAAGGTGACTTAGAACACTGAAATGGGGCAAAAAAGTGAATTAGGGTAAAGTGTCAAAGAACAATAGTTTCTTTTCTGAATACCAGTACATCTTATATTTCCTTTAGGGCATTCTTCTGAACATCAGTTTATAAAGTTTTTCAATTAAACTAAATCTATAGGGGGGGGGGGGAAGCAAACACATCTCAGGGTTTTTAGGAAAAAAATGAAAAATAGGATGGGAAATGACTATAGTGTAAAATGTAACTTTCTCTTAATTTTCACAACCACTCTGAAGTATGCATCATTTATGATTTATAAATAAAGGCTTACAGATTAAAAAAAAAAAAAGACCCTGGACTGTTAGTTGGTCAGCCAACACCCAGGCCTTAGGAATGGAAGCCAGAAGTCTCCTTTGGTAGCTAAGGGTATAGACAAGGGTGGGTGAGTATTAGCATCTCTGTGTAAGGCATGTTGATTATGGATTGGTGAATTTCATAAAGCTGCCTGGGAGAAATCTGACCTCCATCGCTTTATATTTGTAGTTTTGCAGGCGTACTCTGAGAAAGCAACTGGATCACAACCTCACCTTCCATAAGCTGGTGGCATATATGATCTGCCTACACACAGGTAACTGAGGCAAACCATAAAACTATAGGCTTCTGGGCATTCAGAGTTAAGTCTCCTACATCCATGCATGTACTAGTAATTGTTAAAAAAATATGTATATTACACCCGGCATTATTTGCCAGGCACTGTTTTAGGCCTATTTTCATGGAACTCACATTCTATTCTTTTGGGAACAGAGTGAGTATGAATGAAAGGTCTTGGGTCTCTCTATAATAAAGGTTTATTGGGCATCTTCTGTGGACTTGGCATTCTGCTAGACACTATATACAGTATTCTCCTTTTCTAGTGGGGTATGCCTGCCATGATGTTCCTGGGACACTCACAATCCTTTTCATCTTTGCACTTAGCTATTCACATTGTTGCACACCTGTTTAACTTTGAACGATACGACAGAAGCCGACAGTCCACAGATGGATCCCTTGCTTCTGTTCTCTCCAGCCTATCTCATCAAGAAAAAGAGGGGGATTCTTGGCTAAATCCCATGCAGACCACAAACATGGTGAGTTGATTCAATGGCAAAGCATCTGGGCTTTGGTCACAAACAGAAAAGCATGGTATCCTCGGTGGATATTGTGTCAGGCTGACATTTTTCCTTTCATAGACAGTGATATATATGACACTCACCAGCATTCCTGGTTTCACCGGAGTGATCATCACAATAGTTCTGGTTCTCATGGTGACTTCATCTATGGAATTTATCCGGAGAAGTTATTTTGAGGTCTTCTGGTATACACATCATATTTTTATCATTTACTTCATCGGCTTAGGAATTCATGGCATTGGGTAAGGTCCTCAGACTCTTTTCTCATGCTCTAGCCCCTGACCTTGCATAAGTCATTGCCTAAACTGTCCTTCTTCATCTATTTCAGTGGAATTGTCCGGGGTCAAACAGAAGAAAGCATAAAGGAGAATCATCCTTATAGGTGTGCAGAGTTTTTTGAGAAGTGGGATGATCATGATTTCCATTGCAAGAGCCCCCAATTTGAAGGGAACTCCGCTGAGGTAAAAATCCTATGGACAAGGACAGACTCTTGTTAGGAGCTGTTATTTGTACTGTTATTACCATCATTAGTTCAACCAATATATCTACAAAATATCAAGGAACTCCAATATCACTGGCAACAGGCTAGCGGATTAGCATTAGCAGAGCACCCTGAAGAGAAATGACTAATGGTTAGTACATGTTGTGAAACCCTCTCCAAAGGCAATAATGATAGCCCATGTTATTAATAGTGTTTACCATGGGCCAGGTTTGCTGTGTAATAAGGATGATCCCATTTATGCATAGCAATAACCTATGAAGTAAGTACTTCTTCTGTCTCCATTTTGAGACAAAAGGACTAGAATTCACCGAGATGAAGTAAACTGTAAAGCTCTCACACTAAGAGTAAACTAGTAAACTAGTGGAGCTGAAATTCAAGTCCAGGCATTTCGGACTTCAAAGACTGTGTTCTGAACAACTATACTGTCCCAAAACTTAGCTGTAAAATCCCAGTCAATGATTTTGGGGGCAGAAAAAAGCATTCTTTTTTTTTTTTTTTTTTTTAAAGCTTTATTGAAATACTAGGGGCCTGGTGTACAAATTTGTGCATGGGTGGGGTCTGGCTGGCCCACTCTGATGGGGGTCCATTGGCTGGGCCGACAGGGTGGAGGGCCCATCATTCTGGTCGTTCCATCATTCCGGTTGCTTGGCTTTTATATATATAGATAATTGATAAATAAAATTATATATATTCAAAGTGTACAATGTGGATGAATGTTATACATATACTTTGTGAAATGATTACTGCAATGAGGTTAATTAACACATCCATCACTTCACATAGTTACCATTATTTTGTGGTGAGAATGCTTAAGATCTACTCTCTTAGTAAATTTCAAGTACACTATACAGTATTATTAACTATAGTCACCATAATGTACATTAGATCCCCAGAACTTATTCATTTTATAACCAAAGGTTTGTACCCTTTGACCAAAATTCCCCATTCCAGACCCCTCACTCCCACCAGCCCCTGGTTAACCACTTTCCTAATCTCTTTATGAGTTCAACATTTTAAAAAAAGCATTCTTAAGGTTGACTTTCATTAGTGTTATAAGAATATGCTTAGAAATTATTATTAGATAGTGATGATCAAGAAATTGGGTTCCAGGGAACTCAAGGTGTGCCTCAGTGTAATTATGTGGATATTCTAGCTTACTTTGATTTGCTCATAAAATATGTTAGATTGAAAAAATGGAAGGGAAAGGTTAATTTGTGGCGCCTCAAAATGCTCTGAGGATGATTAAAGCGTTTAAATCAGATGCAGAATGAAGAGCAATAGCTCAGTCCTCATCTAGAACGGGAAAAATACCTAAAAAATTTCCATAAAGTTGGAGTTTAAAATCAATGTGAAAAAGATAATAAAAGTGCTCAATATATTTTTAGGTTAATAGGATAGTCATCTAGGGTGAAAAAGCTGTATATTAATTCCACACTTTACATTAAAATATGGATCAAGGATGCATGGATTGATAATGTAAATGTTAAAAAAATCATAAAAGCACCCTAAGGCCACATGGAAATTTTTTTTCTAATATTGGAATATTAATAAAGATATTCTCTGAATAAGATTTACAAAAAGCTCAAAGCCAGAAAAGGAAACATAATAAATTTGAATATATATTTATTCAAATTTATTATCCTTTATATATAATATAATAGAGGCCCAGTGCGCAATTGAAATCGCATGAGGTGCCCTGCCTCCCGCCATGGGAGGAGGCACCCCAGGGGCCGCCATGGGAGTCAGGCTTGACTGGTGTTGTGGGCAGCCAGGACCTACGCCTGACTTCTGTCCCAGGCTTCCCCTGCCCCCCTGCCTGTATCTACTCCGGGGCTGCTGGAGCCAGTGTGGCAGCTTGGCCAGCCTCAGGCCCCTCAGCCCCCCTGTCTCCATCTCCGCTCTGGGCCTCACCTGCGCACACAACCTCCCCCTGTCCTGTCATGACCTGTTATGGTGTCCTGGCCTAATTTGCATATTACCTCTCTCTCTCTCTCTCTCTCTCTCTCTCTCTCTCTCTCTCTCTATATATATATATATATATATATATATATATATATATATTGATATATAATTGTTTATATATATGTAAACAATTTTCTGTAGCCCCAAAAATCCCATTATAAATAATAAAGACAGGTAACAAATTACTAAGTAGGAAAGTATTTACAACTTATAGACCATAAACTAATTTCTTAATTAATAAATGACTCCTACAAATTAATGAGAAAAAGCCTAACAACTTGATAAAAAATATAGAAGATCAAAGAAATGACAATATGTGTTAATCTTAAATGTATTAAATTATAGTAAATGTTTTTTCATAGGGGAAGAAATGAATTACATTAAGATACTTTAAAAAAAAAAAAAAAACAAATGGATCAGCAAAGATACCAAAGTCTGCTCATGTGCTGTGTTGGCAATGCTCCCACACATTGCTGGTGAGAGTGTGCACCTATACAACTGTTTGTAAGGGTGATTTGGCATTATTTATCAAATTTTAAAATTCTACCTCCAGGAGTTTTTTTTTTCTAAAAATATACTTGCATATGTATTAACATGTATTAGGTTATTCACTGTAGCAGTGCTGGATAGAACAAAATACTGGAAATAAATGCCCATCAATAGAGGACTAGTTAAATCATGGGACTTTCCTATAATTACGGGAGTTTTCAGTAGCCATTAAAGAGAAAGAAGCAGCTCTATAGGTACTCATATGGAGCAGTCTCTAAGATGTTAGATGAACCCTGGATGCTGTATATATCCAGGTTGCGGGTATATACAAGTTGCCAAGATGTGGGTTTGATCCCCAGTGCATACCGGAGGTAACTCATAGATGTTTCTGTCTCACATTGATGTTTCTCTCTCTCCTTCTTGCTTCCTTTCTTTCTAAAATCAAACACACACACACACACACACACACACACACACACACACACACACACGCACACGTAAGGACTGAAAATTTTTTAAAATTTAAAGATGTGAAATGAAAACAACATCAGGGCAATGTATATAGTCTGCTACCGTTTGCTTTTTAATGTAATATTGTCACCTAACTGCATATTCTCCAGAAGGATTTACAAAATAATAACATTGATTGTCTGCCTCTGGAGAGCTGGGGAGCAGGGATGGAAGGGAGATTTGTACTTTTGAATTTTGTTCACTCTACATGTTATTTACATGTATTACTTGTTAAAAAATAATTTTAAAAGGACATCCCTGCCATATGTTAACAGCACACTTAATTTCAAAAGTTATAGGAACTTGGAAGCTATAACCAGAGACCTTCTGTATTATTTAAGAAGCCCTTAAAAACAGAAACCTATAAAAGCTTGATCAGCCCCTTACTAGTTAAGGCAGTTAATCCCCGATTTCACATTGCACGCCAACATCTATCTTTTCCCTATACATTACCAGAGATAAGGTATATTTGGCCTATTTGGAGGGATACTTAAAACTCAAGGGTTGCTTGGTTGGTTACATAATACCCCAAGGGAGAGAATACCAATTTTGTTATCTATTTTAATATATTGGTTTGTTTCTTCCATAAACATTAAAAAATACTCTCTTCACATTCTCCCCATTTAAGAATTATAAAAAGAAGTCCTGTTTATTGTAGAAAGTTCAGAAAATGTAAAAACATATTTAGAGGAAAATAAAAATTTCATAGAGATCTACCACTTAGATGCAATAATTTTCCCCCTTCATCTATATCATTGGGTATTTTCCTCTGTTGTCAAATGTTCTTTTGAAACATCGGTTTTTAAAAAGTTGTACAGTATACCAGTTTTCTTTTTTTTCCTAGATGGTCATTTTTAATGACCTTGAGGGCATTATGCTTATTGAAATAAGTTAGACAAAGGTAAATACCATGTGATCTCACTTATATGTGGAACCTAATTAAAAAACAAAACAAAACTGAGCTCATACAGAGGAGAGATTGGAGGTTGCCAGACACAGGGGATAAATGGTGGGTAAATGTGTGAACATGGTTAGCAGGTACAAACTTCCAGTTAGAAATAAAGAAGTCCTGGGAATGTAATGTACAGCATGGTAACTAAAATTAATAATACTGTATTGCATGTTTCCAAGTTGCTAACAGAGCAGATCTTAAAAGTCTTCATCATAAAAAAAAAACACACACACAAAACTTTTGTAGCAATGTAAGGTGATGAATGTTAACTAGACTTACTGTGATAATCGTTTTGCAATATATACAAATATGGAATCATTATGTTGTACACCTAAAACTAACATAATATATATCAATCATATTTCAATACAAAGAGAAATTAAAATAGTTTGCTATTGATAAAAATCTGTATGGTATATCATTTTTTGTTATTTTTTTCTTAGTAAATACTGTGGCCATTACTATACTTGTATATTTATGCACACTATAATTATTTCTTCATGCTCCATTTCCTAGAAGTGAAATTCTTGGGTAAAAGAGAAGGCATGCTTTCCAGGATGTTGAGATGTATTGCCAAATTGCTCCCTGGGAAGATGCTATTAATTTTCACCAGCTGCACATGTGAATGTGCCCATTTGCCTGCATCCCAGTTAATGGTGGGCATTATTGTTTAAAGCAGTTTTCAATGTGAGGGGTTCAAATGCTATTTAGTTTTATTACTGATTTCTCTGATTAGTTCTGAGGCCAAAAAATTTTCCACATTGTTGATAGTCATTTCTTAACTTTTTCCCGTTTTTCTGAATTCAGTTGGGGAATTTTTGCTTATAAGAAGTAGCATCAAATTGTATAATGCCCACTCTCAGGTACACTAGCTCCATCTCTGCCTATTTTCTCCCCAGACAGACCTAAGGAAGTTATTTACCTGAAACAGCATGAGAAACCTCATTGCACACAGTTCTGATGTATTACACTTGAATAATTGTGCAAGAAAGGACATGACTTAGCATTACTAGAAAATACATTTCTGGTAGTTCCTGTGCATATGGAAGCAACTTGCTACATTTAAAATGATTTCAGGGATAAAAAGGCTGCTTTAAAAACAAAGTCTTGTTTCACATGATATCATGAATCTAGGGGAAATAATGAACAACATAAACTGATGAACAAAAACAGACCCGGAGACAGGGAAACATCAATCAGACTGTCAAACCTCAGAGGGAAGGTGGGGGAGGGGAAGGGGAAGGAGGAGAAATCAACCAAAGGACTTGTATACATGCATATAAGCCTAACCAGTGGTCACGGACAACAGGGGGGTGGGGGCATATGTGGAGAGGGGTTTGGGATGGGAATGGGGGCATGAGGACAATTATGTGATACCATAATCAGTAAAGAAATTTAAAAAAAAGATCAGGAAAAAACAAACAAACAAACATGTAGACAAGATAAAAAGTATAATACCAGCCCTGCTGGTTTTGCTCAGTGGTTAGAGTGTCGGCCCAGAGACCAAAGGATCATGGGTTCAATTCCCAGTCAAGGACACGTACCTTGGTGGCAGTTCCACCCCCGACCCTGGACAGGATGTGTGCGGCAACCAATTGATGGGTTTCTCATATTGATGCTTCTCTCTCTCCTCCACCTCTTCCCTCCCTTCCACTCTCTCTAAAAATCAATGGAAAAAATATCCTCTGGTGATTAAAAAAGAAAAAAAAACTATATTACTATGTTAGGTGTTTTGAGTACCTGAGAAAAGAGGTGATGGTAAATATTATACATTGTTACCAATAGTGTCAGCCACTTACTTTCCCTTCTGTGTTAGTTTTCTGTTGTTGTTAATCCTCTCCTGAGGATATTTTTTTCCCCATTGATGAGAGAGATAGAGAGAGAGATAGAGAGAGAGAGAGAGAGAGAGAGAGAGAGAGAGAGAGAGAGAGAGAGAGATAGTGCTCCAACTGGATTCGGGGATTGAATCTTCAACCCAGGTATGTGCCCTTAACTGGGGAATCGAACCTGCGACCCTTTGGTGTGTGGGGCCAACGCTCTAACCACTGAACTTATCTGCCAGGGCAGCTTTTTGTTGTTATTGTTGTTATTAATCCTCACCCGAGGATATTTTTCCACTGATTTTTAAAGAGAGAGTAGAAGGGAGGAGAGACATACAGAGAGAAACAATGTGAGAGAGACATACTGATTTGTTGCCTCCCCCTGGAGTATGTGCCCTTGACTAGAATCAAACCCGGGATTCTTCATTCTGCAGGCCAACACTCTATCCACTGAGCCAAACTGGCTAGGGTTTGTTTTGTTCTTAATCATCTGCTTCAATTTCACATCTACCTTCTCTGTGGATTTTTCAGATTGGGCAAGCTATCCTGGAAAACAGTCTTAGATTCTGAATATTAAGTTACATATAAGTAGTGTCCCCCAAAATGTATACACACTTTAATAGCTGACAACTCAATTTCCTTTAACTATTAAAAATGAACTGTATGTTAATACTGACTTTATAAATGTATAAAAATATATACGCTTTGGGGGAACACCCTGTGTTTACTGTATACTAGCACTTTCTGTGCTTTTCTTTTGCTTCCTGGTGAGACCTATAAAATTTCAGGAAGTGATCTGTTTTATGAGTAACAGATTAGCAAAAAAACTGCTATAGTTTATTCCATTCCATTTGTGTTCTCAAGATTTTGTGAAATTAGTGGCTTAATAATGATACACAGCAGAGAACTCAATAAATATTTATTGAGTGAAGGAATGGACTGCTACACAAATAAATCCTAAAGAAGAGATTAATGTGTAACCTTATTCTGTACTCTGTTTCTGCGCAGTCTTGGAAGTGGATCCTTGCACCAGGTGTTCTTTATTTCTTTGAAAGGATCCTCCGATTGTATCGCTCCCAGCAACAGGTTATGATTACCAAGGTAAAGCATATGCACTTTCATCTTCCCTATTATAGGAATAAATTGCCATGTTATTAAACAATCTTGGGGGTAACATACTTCAGTTCCTTCAGTGCTGGACAGAACTATGGGAAGAGGGGTTTAGCAGAAATCATCAACATGGGTCTATGTCGGAGGCTGCAAACAGGCAACCAGTGCCAGACATGTTTTGTTTGGCTCACACACTCATTGTTTAGAAATTTGAATTACCGTGTTTCCCCGAAAATAAGACATCCTCCGAAAATAAGACCTACTTACAGGTTTCCTTTTGAGTGAAATATACGGCATTCCCCCGAAAATAAGGCCCCCCTAGGCTAAACATGAGAGATTTGGTCCACTGATTCTGAAAGAAATGGAGTCACAAGAAATTCACCAGGAAATTCAGGAATTGGATTGTTATGATGATGTTCCAGAAGATGATGACATGATTGTCATTGAATAAATGAGTAAATTCTTGATACTGTAGGATTCACAGTTTGTCTGGTTTGTGTTGACAACTACCGTACTACCGTACCGTATACAGGTAATAAATTTCCTTTATTTTCATTTAACAATAAATGTGTACCGTATTCTTCTTCATGGAAAAATAAGACATCCCCTGAAAATAAGACCTAGCACATCTTTGGGAGCAAAAATTAATATAAGACACTGTCTTATTTTTGGGGAAACAGGGTTGCTAACACAATCTGGATGGAGGCTTTTACATTAAAATTTGCATTTCTGGCTTCTCTTGAAGAATCAGGCAACCTCATAACGCTGTCAGTTCCATAGTGCACGTGTCAAACACAAGGCCAGCGGGCCAAATCCGTCCCGCCAGGCCTTGCAATGTGGCCCTCACCGCGCTGTCATCACTGCACTCCGCTGCGTTTCCATCACAATGACAGTTTATGACTGTTCAGTAAACCATTCGGCCCGCGATTTAGGCTGGATTTTAGATTTTGGCCCCTTCTCTGATTGAGTTCGACACCCCTACCATAGTGTAACCATTGCCTGAACGAAGTAACTGCTATTCCCTCTAGAAAGCATTTGTGCTAACAGTTCACCCCTGTCACCAGCCCTTCAGCTTTATTAATTTACGTTATCTACCTGTTCCTGTCACCATTTGAAAATGCCTCCTTTGGTCTCTCTGCCTCATTCATAGGTTGTCATGCACCCATCCAAAGTTTTGGAATTGCAGATGATCAAGCGTGGCTTCAGCATGGAAGTGGGACAGTATATTTTTGTTAACTGCCCCTCAATCTCCTACCTGGAGTGGCATCCCTTTACTCTGACCTCTGCTCCAGAGGAAGACTTCTTCTCCATTCATGTCCGAGCAGCAGGGGACTGGACAGAAAATCTCATAAAGGCTTTTGAACAACAGAACTCACCAATTCCCAAGTAGGTCCTAGAGAGCTGCAGAGACCCAGACCAGGATGCAGACAGGCAGATATGAGGATACAGTTCCTCACTGAGCCTTGTTTGGTACAATAGAAAATAATAATAATAATAATAATAATAATAATAACAACAACAAAACAGGCTGAAATCAGCCATGGTAGCTGCTATGTCTCTGGGAGGGTGATTGAGGTTGGGGGTGGAGGTGAGACTTCACTTGCCTATTGCCTTCTGTCTTCTGCCAGGATTGAGGTGGACGGTCCCTTTGGCACTGCCAGTGAGGATGTTTTTCAGTATGAAGTGGCTATGTTGATTGGAGCAGGAATTGGGGTCACCCCCTTTGCTTCCATTTTGAAGTCCATCTGGTACAAATTCCAGCATGCAGACCACAACCTCAAAACACAAACGGTACACTCCCTCATACCATCTTTCCTCTGGCCTGGGCCTGACAGCCCGTTACTTTCATGGGCTAAGCTCTTTACAACTGATGAGAGAGCACCCCTCCCTGGAGTTATGAGAGCAAGTGATCACTTCTCTCAGCCAAGGCATCTGCATCTACAGATTGACCATAAGAATAGGGTCTTCATTTTCAATTTGGAGTTTAAAATTACCTTGAAACAAAAATGACATTGGCGGGTGGTCTTTCTCCAGAAGGGAAGTTGTTAGGACTCTGTACATTTGAGCTGCCTAAGGTCTGCTGTTCTGTAGAGGTGATTTCTCAGGTCACCCTAAACTTGATCAACAAATATACAATATACCTACCTAATCATGTCACCACAATGCACATTGTAAAAGGCGTTTAATAAGGCTATATTCTCCCTTGGTGATTCCAGATATATTTCTACTGGATCTGCAGGGAGACAGGTGCCTTTGCCTGGTTCAATGACCTGTTGGCTTCCCTGGAACAGGAGATGGAGGAATCAGGCAAAGTTGGGTTTCTCAACTTCCGTCTCTTCCTCACCGGATGGGACAACAACATTGTGAGTTCAATGTTGTGTGCAAGCTGAATGTCAGACAAAAGAAGTGTGTGCTGATTGGAAATGATTTTTTGTGTGTCCTATCTGTTCTCACCCTCACATTCAAGCTTAAAAGTGGCTGAAGGAAGAGACAGCTATCAGGACCTTCTTTTTCTAACTTTTTATTTCTCTGATTCCAGGCTGGTCATGCAGCATTAAACTTTGACAAAGCCACAGACATCCTGACAGGTCTGAAACACAAAACTTTCTTTGGGAGACCTATGTGGGATAAAGAGTTTTCTACAATAGCTACCATCCACCCCAAGTAAGTGTATTCTCCTCTCATTAGTTGAGTTTACAGGCTTAGAGTTTAGGAAAGGCATTATGGTATGTTGAATACGCTTGGGAAAAAGACCTCTGGGACAGAAACTATTTGCACCATTCCTAGGTTCTTGCTTAAAACAGGAAATTCCATCTGAGGTTTCAGCCAAATAAGGATCATGATCTCATAATTGATGAGAATATGTTTGCTGCACCACAATCCCCCATTCAAATAGTGAGGCAAGGAGACCCAGTTCTGATTTGTATTACCAAATGAAATATTGCAATAGAACTGGAACAGTTCAAATGCATTGCTTTTGACTTAGTGACCTCAAAGTAGCAAGGATTTGGGATGTATTATCTAGTTAGCTGATGACCTGACCTCAATATTTCTGGAACCATTTAAACATGCTAGAGCATATAGGAAAACCTGGGGCCCCGAGGTCAGACATTCTGATGAGGAGATTAAGCTGATTGTGTTAGATAAATTCCAGGAACAGTTGGCAGGTGAACATCAATTCCACAAATGGCGTTAATGGCAGCTGTTTTTCATTTAAACCTTAAAACAATCCTATAAGGTGGGTACTATTTTTATCACCATTTTATAGGGTGGGGGCAAATACTGAAACACAGAGGTTAAGAAACTTGCCTACAGTCAAAGCCACAGAGCTGGACAAGTGTCAGAGCTGGGATTTTAACCCAGGCTGCCTGGCTCACTAGTCTAGCTAGCACTTACCCCCTATAGGCACTACAGCTGAACATGTTGTGAATAGAATAGGCAAGGCTGAGTACCTAGAGTGATAAGGGCTGAAAGCTCATTTGGAGCTTATAAGAAGAAAAACTGAGAAAACTAGTATGAAGAATGTGAGAAGGGTGCCAACAACTGGATTTCTACGCAGAGTTGTCAGTAGCAGAGAGCTCCTCATTTCTCCATTCTAACAACATTGCACCTTTATTACAGTCTAGCCAACTATTCTTTTCCTGCAGGTCTGTGGTGGGAGTCTTTTTATGTGGTCCTCAGGCTTTGGAAAAGTGCCTGCGTAAATGTTGTCACCAATACTCCAGTCTGGATCCTAGGAAGACTCAATTCTATTTCAACAAAGAAAATTTCTGACTTAAAGAAATAAGGACCATTGTCTGCATTTAGTCTCTCCTTTGTATCTTCAACAATGTACTTGGTCTGGGCAGACATTTAAGGACCAGAACGTGACTCTCTGGCATTCTTTTTTTGGTTGGATTCAGTTTTGTTTTCTGAACTTAATGACAAGTGCTGGCGAAGATGTGCAGAAAAGAGAACCCTAGTTCACTGCTGGTGGTAATGCAGACTGGTACAGCCACTATGGAAACAGTATGGAGTTTCCTAAAAAAATTAAATATGGAACTGCTATTTCACCCACTTCTGGGAATATATCCCAAGAATCCTGAATCACCAATCAGAAAGAATGCATGCACCCCTATGTTCATAAGCAGCACTATTTACAATAGCTAAGATTTGGAAACAGCCCAAGTGCTCAGCAGATGAGTGGATAAAGAAGCTGTGGTACATTTATGCAACGGAATACTATGCAGCTATAAAAAACATCTTACCCTTTGAGATAGCATGGAGGGACCTGGAAAGTATTATCCTAAGTGAAATCAGCCAGACAAAGACAAATATTACATGATCTCACTTATATGTGGAATCTAATGAACAAAATAAACTGCCAAAATAGATCTAGAGACATGGAAGCACTGAAAAGACTGACAAATCTCAGAGGGAAGTAGGTGGTAAGAGATTAACTAAAGCACTTATATACATTGTCCTTGGACAGACAATAGTACTATGAAGGCCTGAGGGTAGGGTTGGAGGGGAGGGGGGAAGAAACAGAGTGGAAGAGGTCAATGGGGGAAGGGAACTTTTGTAATACTTTTAATAAAGATATTTTTTTTAAAAAAAACCTAAGAACTTCAGAAGTGACAATAATTGCAAAGTCCTTGGAGCATTTCTTCAGAAAATAGCCATAAATCATTTTAGAATGCTATGACTACGGCAAGGCCTGACAGCAGAGGTGAACGACAATTTAATCCCAGGAGATTTTGTTGATTTCAAGTGCTACTTTTGCCTGGACTTTGGGGTCACATACTCCCCTCCCTGCCACCATAAAAAAAAAAAATCGAAGTAGGGTGCTTTTTAAAAATAAAATTTTATTTAAGAATTAACGACAAAACACAATAAACATAAATAAAACATAAAATTACCAAGATCCCCATTTCTATATACATTATGAACATTCTGTTATTTTAAAACATGGTCTTATCCAGTGTGAGCAGCTATTTATGCTATACTTATTTTTGCCTGTAAAAAAAAAAAAGGATTTTCTTCTTTGCTTAATGAATATATCTTATATATCTTTTGTTACTTTATCTGGGTTCTCCATTTGGGAAAGAAAATCTTGAAAGTATGCTAATCATAACTGAAATTATATAACTGAGAGTCAGCTAGAGCCATTAGTTTACATTGCTCTGTTGGAAATAATTGCAAACACTTGAATTTGACCTTAGGACAATTTATCAACAGGGCTCTTTATTGCCATTTTTATTAAGGGGGTTTATTAATCTCTAGTTTTAAGAAAAGATAATTTAGAATTTTTTATAATTTTTAATAAAATTTTTTCTCCTACATACTTACATATTAGGGAATCATTCCAATAATGACATAAGCCAAATGCCTTTTTTTCTCCTGTCAAAATGCTTTTTATTTCTTCCATCCTCCTGACTCTGGGATGTTAGTAGTCACAGTGAATCAGTAGACGGAAAGACCAGGGCCCTTAAAAGAGGTAAAAACCCCACACTTCATTGTGCCCAAAGACAATTCAATCCATCAGATTTAAAAGATTGTTTCTACTGAATTAGCTTTATAGCACCTACTTCTTTCTCTTTTTTAAGTGACCAAAAATGTGTAATTGTTTCTAATTATCCAGAAACCTATATAACTTATAACTTGAAGTATTAGTAAGACTGATTTTTCAGTCACTAGTCTGAACAAAATAAAGGTAAGCCCAGAACTCAGGGTAGTGAATTATGTTTTACGTATTAATTAGACATTAGTAAAAAGTACTAATGGATGTTTCTATAGGAATAGATTGGGGCACCCTTACTGTTGCCAGCTTCCTGGATTTCAGCTGTCTAAATTTAATAAGGCTTTAGAAACATGCAAAATGGAACTCTGACAATATGGTTGTTACTAGACAGCTGCTGACCAAATGATAGTTCGGTTTTCATCAATGAGTTTGGTTTGGAACCTTAGTATTCCTTGAATATCTTATGAGGTCTTAATGAGAGGCTTTACTCTTGATCTCAATGTTTATTGTATTGACACTTCCAAGATATGACTGGTGCTAAAATCAACATATCAAGGTCTAACAGCGGTCACCAACCAGTGGTCCGCGGACCGCTAGTGGTCTAGGAGGTCCGAAAGATTGGTGACCGTTGGTCTAGAATATTCATGAAAGTAGGCAGAAAAGGTAATGATAATAATAAGTCCTACATATAATTAACATCCAAGCCCAATTTGGGGCTGTGCATGACACCTAGAAATCCCCTAAGCTGTTCTGAGCAAGTTTTTCTTCTTAGGTTGTAATATCTTATTCAGCAAACTCTTGTAGTAAATGTTTATATATCAGAGTAGAAAATCCCTTAATTTCAGTGTCTCTCATAAAGTTGATTATCTTTGCATTTTTTTTGCTTGATATATAAGCAATATGCTATTACATTCTCTAAGCCTATTGCAGGCTTTAATTCGTTTGACCATAATCCTAATCTGGGGGTAGGATTCTGATAATATAAATAGGCTCGAGTAGTCCCAGTGGAACTTTACTAATTATTAAGGCACCTCATAACCTCTTGAGGCTGGCCTGATGGAGAAATAATGTTCCTCCTTAATGCTACTATGAGAGAAGGAACAGTAGGCTAAAAGAGCCATAAGTCAGAGCTAGGGCACTAATTATGCTCATATCCGTCTGCAAGGAAGCAGGCAGGGGAGACAACCATATCTATCTGCTTGCACTCTACATTTGGTCCTCTTAAAATAAATAGGAATGTAAAAGTTTTAAGATTTTCTGTTTTAATTTCTCAGAATAAATCTGGTTACAGGGTAGGCCTATAGATTAATGACTATCTAAAAGGTAGGATGAAATACATTTTGTGCATTTGATTGCTGATCAGTTATTTTATTTTGAACATGTGAAAAATTAGTGGATTTCGTAACTTTTATGGTTGACTACCTAGACTGAAGGGTTTTAGAACAGACAAGGAAATGTCCACAGTCTCATGTGTTGACACAAACCAGTGGCTAATACATTTTTGTCTTACCTCTGAACTCTGCAGGTGAATAGACCTACTATTGACAAAAAATGCATTTTGATACTTGGATTTTTATAAACTAAATACACTGCTAGGCTCTTTGCTTTGTTGGCCTTTTAATCATTTTATAGCTCTAAGCATATGTTTTCTTCCTGTAGACTCAGAAGTTCTAGCAAGTTCTCAAAGGGCAAATCTTATTATTCCCACAGGAAGCAGACTAAATAGAAACTAAGTTTCGGAAAACTTTGTTTCCGAGAAATTCTCAAATAGAATAAAGAAGAATAAATGGTTAACTTAAGAAGAAAAACAGAGCTATGGCAATATAACATCAAAGTACAATATTGCAGTAAGGGTAGAAAATACATCTAAGGTTTCACCCTTGGTATTCAGCTTTTTAAAGCAAAAAGTTCAGGTGTATCAATTTGCAGTATACTAAAACTGCTCCATGTTTATTTCAAGTCACAGAAAATATACAAACTAAGACAACAGAATGATCTAGTTTTGTTCTGAGAGAGGTGATGGGAATCTTCCACCTGGCACCAATTTGAGTCATTCAAGGTTTAGGATGTAGAAGTCATCTTTTTGCAACATTTCAACAAAGTTATGGAATTATTTTCCATATTTGTTGCCAGTTATTTTTGAAAACCTGTAAGGAAAAGTTGGGAGAAAGCCATTAGACTTGGAGACAAAGTTCCCTTCTCCAAACACCAGGGGGGAAAAAATTAAAAAGTTGAGGAGGAAGACTATGCACAAGAGCAAAACATCAGGGGCAGATTCTTAAGGTTTCTGCCTCCTGCCTCTCAAAAGTAATCATCCTTTAAGGCAGGGCTTCTCAACCTCAGCACTACTGACATTAGGGGCCATATCAGTCTGTTATGGGGAGATGTCCTGCACATTACAGGATGTTTAGAAGCAACTCTGGTTTCTACCAGTGAATGCAAGTAGCATCATCCCCCTAAAGCTGTGACAACCAAAAATGTCTCCAGACATTTCAAAATGTCCTGTAGGTGGCAAAATTGCTTGTGGTTGAGAAACGGTGTTCTAATGGCAATGGTATATATACTAAGTGTGTCAGTGATAGCAGAGATGGATCACAGGTAGTGAGGTACACAATGGAGGGAGAGCCAATACTTTGGCTATAGCATGTACAGATACCAGCAAATAAACTTTAAAACCTTGCCTGTGTAAATTACACAGAGAAAGATTAAAAATGGCAGCAGAGTAGGAGGATGCTGCATGGACATGCTCCTAGGAACAAGCTAGAATTACAACTGAAATATAGAAAAGCTTCCTGAACTCACAGGAGGGAACCCTGATACCCAAGGACCGAAGGTAGAGATCGCATAGAAACTGGTAGGAGGAGCAGAGCTGCGAAAGGGCTGGTCGTGCACCCACAGACAGCAACTGAAGTCCTGGAGAGATATCTCAGCCGTGGAGGGTTGCCACTGACAACTCTGGGATCTGATCCCGAAGCTGGGCTCCCCAGCAGAGAGCACCAAACTGAGGAGGGTACCCACATAACATTTATCTGTGAAAAAAAGCAGTGGGGTGCTATCTGCCAGGGAGTGGCAGCTGGAAGTTCGGGAAACTCTTAAAGGGCCAACGTACAAAAATTCCCTGTGGAGCCACCCACCTTGTGCTCTGGAAGAGGGAAAGTGAAGTGGACTGGAGCTATGAGAACAGAAGCCAGGACTGGGACTCAGGGGAAAGAGCTCAGAAGGCAGACACCCTGGGCTATCATTCCCTCACACAGCAGAGGACATCTTTCACACATAGACATCTGCCTTGCCTGGGGAAGTGGGGGAGACAGTTGACACACCCTACTGGATACACTTTGCCCTGAGGCCACTTAAGAGATTAAAAATAACAACTGGCCTCCAGGCAGAAACAACTGCCCCACACAGTTGAAAAAAAACAAAACAAAACAAAACCCAAACTCTCACCA